TATTCAATCAGAATCTCAAATTATTGCTGGAAATGTTGATTTGAAGCAAAATACAAGAAATGGAGGAGGTGCAGACAGAGGAATACAGGAAAGCAAGAATCAGAAAACTAATAATCAAACTTAAAAAAGACAAAAGATGTAGTCTGGCAGGCCAGTCTTTGAAGAAAGAGCGATCTTGCCACTAGAGGACACCAAAGGCCTATTTCACTTTCAAAGAGTTTCAATGGTTATCAGTTGATTACATTATTGGTATTACATTATACATTATTGGTAAAGGTAAATTCCACATTCTCACTTAAGATTAATTAGTCTTTAGACTTAGTAATTTAGAGTATAGGGGGAGAGAGGGAGACAGCTTGAAAAAGGGGTTAGACTGTGGTCATACTGATAATCAGAGACTTTGATTCCACCTGCCCTTAATCTGCTTTCCAATGGCATTAATCTGACTTGGTGAAAGAACTCCTTAATCTTCATGGTTGAGGCTTTGCTTGAAGCTGTGAGCTCTGTAGCTGTGAGGAAGCTCAAAGTTTAGTATTTTTTATTCTCAGTCCACTATTACACAAACCAGTTAATTGATTTGTTGGTCTCTTTAATGTAAATTTGTGCGCCTAAATTTTAGTTTGTTTCAGCAAAGGTTTGAATACTTGTGTGGTCATAACCTTCCCATTTTTCTTTCAGAACAGTTTACAACTTTTTTGTTTTGGACATTAATTAACATTAACTGCTACCAAGACAAAACATTTCCTAAGAAAAAAGGAAATACAATTTCCTTATTGCACCATAGTAATCTCACATTAAAGGGCTGTAAGATAAAACATTTAGGATGAGGATCTTTCACATGGGAATGTTAAAGATTGAGTGCATTTACATGTGAAGTCTCTTGACTTCTTATTAGCAGATCAGGTACAGTACGTGTTCTAGGAGGTCACATCACAGGAAGCAATTTGCTGTAGAGAGTCTCCAGTCCTGTCCCTTGTCCATTATATTTCATAGGTCTCTATAAGATCATTAAGTTAAAAATTGGCAGTCTTAAATAGAGATGACTATAGAGGAAACTGATCAATTTATTGAAAATCATCAAATCATCAAAGGCATTGACAAAGTCAAGCCAGTGAACGTCTTCAGAATCAATGATGAAACATAACCCAGAAGAAACTCATGGAAACTACTTTGATGTGAATTTTAAACTAATTTATCATGAGTCATTTATTTATACAAAGGACTATGGGAGGATGGAATGAACCATCCAGGCAAGTAGTTGAATCCGATGCCGTGACTTGTTTGGATGAGATACTTGAATTACAAGTGGACTAGGCAAATGGCCT